GGGCTTTCATCCACTTTAGACAACACAGAGCCGTTTTATCCTTTAGAAGGTTCCAGAACAACGGTTGTTTAACGTATTCTGCCGTAGCAATAATAGTTGAGCATGTTTTGAAGTGTTAACAATTATTGTTAAAATCATCGTCCAACTTCACAGCTGCAATGCTAAATGATGTAGCCTCAGCTATCTGGTCTTGAATTATACTTTCAAGAGGACAAATAACAAGACAACTATAAGAAATATTCTATCCCTGCTCGTGCTGGCATGTAGCTATTAAGCTTAATTGATTTGGTGATAATGTATAAATATAATTGAAAGATCAATTATCCGTAGCGTAGGTGACAACCTAGTTTTGGATCTGATGGCCTATCATATATAGGTGTTTTTAAAAAGGCCAGTTAAAGCTGTTTTTGTTGACATTTTTCGTTTGCATTACAAATGACTTCATTGTTTAATGTTTGCAGAACAAGCGACTTACTGAGCGACATATACCACTTATCTATAATTAATACCATGGATTGTAAAATAACTGGATAGGAAACTTCCTGACGTCATTGACCTCATCCTTGTTGAAAAACGTGACGTCACGCGTATTGCGAATATTACCAAAGTTCTCGGCATTTTTGTTGTTTTGCTATATTTTCCACTTTAAAAGGGTGATATTGAAGTATAAACTGGTCTAATTGTTTTAAAAACATGCCTAAGCCACGACAAAGTATTCAAGGTAAATGTTTTTTGTCTTTGTTTTGTAGTTTTTTACATTTATAGCTACGAAATTGGCGTCACAAATTTTAACGAAATTTGTGATGTATTTTTCACTCTTTAGTGCTTGAAATATTTGCTAAAATATAACCGGGAATACTTAGAGTTTTCATCATAGAATGGCGTGGTTATATTTATTTGCTCTTTGACTAAAATGTTTAGCTGTATTACTGCTAAACATGCCGTTTTTGAGAATTTGGTTTGCAACTAGGTTTTAACATCCAACCACGCCATCAGCCCATTGAAAACATTAGGTCACACCAGCTAATTTCCTATCCATCTATTTTATTATCCATGTTAATACGTAAGAACTCCAATAGAAAATACGATAGTTTTCTTAAATTTACTCTAATTTTCTAGGACAGTAAAACCTGAATTTACAGTATCACACATGAGTTCTTAGCTGTCTAATATATAAGATATCGAATAATTTTGAGCGTAGTATATATTTAATTATTTATACTGCAGATATTAACATTTTACGCGTGATCGCATCATTCTGCGCACAGAACAAGCTTCTTCAGTCATGGCTTGACACTAACCCTTCTCGTTAGATAGCTCGCTATTTATCTTTCTGGCATTATGCAGCCGCAAGAAACGTGTTGAAACTCTATTATTATGCTTAATTTTCATTGCTGGACATTTGGAATGTAAGGCATCTGCATGCATACGATGTGGGTTCTTACAATGGCAGAACTTTTTGTGGCTTTTTTTAGGTAGGTTTCCCAGCTTTCTTAGCCGAAAGAAAGTAGGCTATGATGTCATTGTATAACATTACAGAGTAATAACAACGAAATATGATATAGTGATTTGACCTTTTGCGGGCTCCAAGGCACTATGAAGCGACTTAAGGCCATTTTCCATTGCAGTCGCTTTGCCTGCGCGGGCGGAGCGACCAATTTTAATCACGTGAAAAATCAGTCGCCCCGGCACGCCAAGAAAGTTGAATGTAGTTCTACTTTCATGGCGTGTCCGCGAGCATTCAGGCGGACAAAAATGCACAGGTTAGGCAACTACAGAGAAAGTTGAGTAATGTTCGCTTCGCCCGCGCGGGCAAAGCGACTGCAATGGAAAATGGCCTTTACTAACGCCATGTAAATGCCCATTTTACAGTTTATCTCAATTATTCCAAGTTAAATCGAATCTCATTTATCAGCCTAGTTCATACATGGCTGTTTACCTACTTTAAAAAATGTAATAAAAAATTGCCTACTTTTGAAATTGTCTGAAAGTTGGGATTCCAGTCTTGACTAGCTTGAAATATCAGAAAGAGTTTCCTCCAAAGCATTAACCCCAGCCATAGTTTTTTGAGAATATATACGAGGGCAAAATTACTGTTGACATTTGAGTTACGCGTAATTACTTCCGTCAATGAGAGTGACCAATGGGAATTAAGCCGAACTAGTTTTTTCGGTCAAAAACACATTAGTCATAAGCACAGGTCATAGCCATTTGGGCAGGCGTTTCCTCAACGACGCCCTCTCTTCTCCTGCCCGCACTAAACGCCTGCTACGCAGGCTGAGCCGTTTAATAATCAATGATTTAATCACTATCATAACTGTTGATGATCGAGGTAAATTAATACATATTAGTGTTAAGGTACCACCATTTTGTAGAGCAGGGTAATTACTATGGTACAGTATGGTACTAATGCTATCTTCACAGCATTAAGGATTTTTATTTTTTATAGTACAACATGGTGCATTGTTTTAAGTATATAATAACCATATATGCATGCTAAAGTGCAGTACCATGGACTAATAGTGTGAATGGATCTAACAAGTTATGAAATGATATGAAATTATTACTATCTCATACAGGACAACAAAGCTTGCTTTTTTGAAATGCTAACAGTCCAGTTGTCATACATAGCTCAGATTTTTGTCGGAACACTTTACTATACTGATGCAGATAGAACTGTGAAGTGTATGTCTTAAAATGTACTAGTTTTCAAAAGGTATACTTAAAATTACTATGTCATTAGTGGTGTGATGTCATAGGATTGTTGCATTACCATGGAAACGGTGTGTTAGTGTCTGTAAAATTCATGACGTCACATGGTTGCCATGCTTGAATATGTTCTCTGTGAAACATCCCATGAAACAATAATCTTTATTTAAAGTTCCTTTCTGGAAAATAGTGGTTTTGTGGTGAAAATGTAGCATCATGGTCCGAGGGTCATTATGTTGTTGTGATGTCACCTAGTTTCCATGCTAATGCGACTTTGCATCACTTTATAAATGTCGGTTAATTTGTAGTATAAGAGGTTAAATAACACTTTTGAAATGCTATGTGTCAGTAATAAATTGTCTATTCACAGCCTCGTCCCCAAGTGCTTTGATTTGCTCACTGCCTGCGTCGTGCCACAAACCTGTGCGTCTGAGTTTGAGCCTGGGGACGAGGCTGGTCTAACACAGTTTTCATACAATTCCTTGTAATATACAATCTTGTACCCAGAGCAATGCCTGTGCACAGGCTAGGAAGGCATTGGCTCTGAGGAAATTGACAACCGGAACCCCTTAATTTAGGGGGTCCGGTTCTTTGTCGGCATGCACTATTGATAAACGTTAAACCAATCACAGCACAGGAAAAACTCAATTTCCCCAGAGCCAAGCCTTCCTTGCCTGCACACAGGCATTGCTCTGGGAACGAGATTGTGTAATATAATGACATCATATGGTTTCCATAGCAACAGGTGTCACCAATGTACCCTGAACATTTTGTGGTGATTGGATGAAATGTCTAGATGTTATAACGAAAATGGTCAAAAAATCGGCTAAGACCAAAACGTTTCAAATGGCAAGCTCTATCAAACTAATATATTGTTTACTTAACACGTTTTTTTATTAATGAAACCAACAAGAAAGCAATATAGACAGCACTTTTCACCTATTTCTTGTTGCATTACCTTTGTATACATGGTAGAAATTAAATTTGTGTATAAGTATAATAACCTGAACCATAATTTACTGATGCATTAGGACTGGTAGATATATACTAAGTTTTAGATGCTTTGCAGTGCAGACAAACACGACCAGGCAAAAAACTATATCAAGCTAATGTTCAAAACAAAATATGAAAAATTTTACTTTGTCCATTGTCCGGGAAAAATTGATAAATGTCCGACCAATTTTTGGCTTGGCCAGAGATTTGTCCTTCCAAGTAAAATAATTATTTGCAGGCTTGCTGGAAGGTGTTATGTGTTAGGTTTGTATACCAAAGATTGTAAACAATGTTTAAAAAATATTCAAATCATATTAAATTATTGATATTGGATACAGGTGGCATACAGCCACTTCAATATATATAATACAACCACAATATACACACAATCGTTGAAATAATTTGCTATTCCTAAATAATTACACTTCAACATTTATCATTTATAGACCCGGAGCGAGGGGGATTCGGCGAAATATTTCCCGAAGTGATGATATTTCCCGAGGGCGAAGCCCGAGGGAAATATCATCACTTCGGGAAATATTTCGCCGAATCCCCCGAGCGGAGGGTCTATAAATGATATATTATACCGAAAAAGGTATTCTATACCGAAAAAGGTATTTATTTCCTCGTCAGACTCTGTCATTTTTGCCTTTCAAGCAAACAACATTGTTCCCGCCATTTTTTAGCCTTGCGTGTGGTCTCGCGTGATGTTCGCGAATCATATTCACCGGTGAATTTGACTCATATTCACCGGTGAATATGACTGAAATTTCCTGCTGCACCAAATACGAATGACGTAAGCGCGATACGATGATAAATTTCACGATCACATGGCACAAATCTAGCTTTCTCATTGGACAATTTTAATTTGAGGTATAATATTTCTCTATATTTACAAACTTTATACATATTTACCGATAACGCTATTCTGGGGATTAAAATTTTCTAAAAATTTTAGTCGCCCAAGCCAATGTGGAAAGTGTGTATCGCATTGGGGAAATATCGGCCGTGTAATTGTGATGCTTTCTATATATTTACTATTCAATTTTCTAAGTCTCTGGCGCACAATTTCCAAACTTTCCAGTCTGGCGCCCAAGATGATATTAAGATCTGGTCGCCATATTTCATATTCAGGTCTCCCTAAATCGATGCGTTATAAAGTGCTCTCTTTTTATATAGATAACAGTAAAAACAGTTGTTTAATATGTTGGCAAATTATATGCAAAAGCAGAAGTATGAAATACTTGGTCACTGAGAATTTTAGGGCTTTAATATAATTTTTATTTTATTATTTTAATTTTTTTCTCAGTCACTACGAGGGCCACCTTTGGCAAATATTTGGTCGCTAGATGAAAAATGTGGGCGCAATTGGCGATCTGGCGCCCGCTCATTTCAACCCTGCAGTATTACGCTATTACCTTCATCATTGTTGTTCAAGCAGTAAAATTCAGTACTTCGAGTTTGACATGAAACGGTGGACTGTGATACCATATCACTAGCTGTAGCGGAGTCGCATGGCTCTGGATCTTCGTGAGGATTAATTGTTTTACCTTTCGTGATCGTTCGTTTTCTTGATGGTGAAAGATTTAGATCGTTTGTAGAACTAAAAGAACTAAAATTTCGCGACATCTCCATTTGGCCGCCATTTGTAATTAGTTCGGGATCATCCCACTGAGCTGTATATTATTACTGGAGAACCTGCTCCTATTGGCTTCTATAAATACACTTGTCACGCAATCACGAAACCTAATCCAATCCCAACAAGATAATAAAAAAGAAATAATGTTTCGTTCCAATATAATTATAGAAATACCAGACGTCTGTAATTAGCGGTTGTGACCATAGATCACTTGTATATGTCGAGCAATGAAATTGGTTCATATATTTTGTGAGGCGGGCGGGTTCTATAAATTTTCATTACCCGGAGGGGCCGAGCGGTCCAGAAATACAGTTGTAGTATTTAAAATGAAGAAAAACAAAGAAAACTATATAATAAATATATACCGCTGTTGAAATACAGTTGTAGTATTCAAAATGAAGAAAAACAAAGAAAACTATATAATAAATATATACCGCTGTTGGCGCTTGAATACTTCAAATATAAATCATCGTGCCTGTAGATTTTGACCTGAAGTTCAGGCCCTAGATTTTGATTGGTTGCAAGTTCACATAAACAACAGTTTTAAAAATAGCTCGGTGAAGA